GTCCTCTCCGTCACCCAATCTTTTTCTCTTATCTACACCTCAGGGCTTTTTTTACCATTATGTATAAATAAGGTATCGCTTTGTATTGCAGTCAGTGTGGAACGTCAGGTATAAACGAACCAAGAACGATTGATTCACACACATAAGTTTGCTTCGGTTGCTCACTCGTTCAGGTCACTCTAATACAGATGCGTAAATCAACCTTCACGAGAAGAAACGGTTGGTAGCTCCGGTACCAATCAAATTGCCCAGGTCAGTGAACAAGCCAACGATCAGACTTTACTAGGTCTTTGAACGTCAGCACACATGGTTTTATCCACATCGCTTCTGTTCTGAAAGGTCATCCATTTCAACTTTGTGGGTCATTGGTCTTGGAGTATCTGGGCCACATGCCTGTGGAAAACCTGCAGATGTACGAGGTTATGCACAGCCTGCAACCAGTTGCAAGAATAACTGTTCTAATCTCGTCCATATAAGTCGTCATAGTAAGTGGCAAATTGTAGGCGCAAAACTCATATGGCTGCTGTAAACTCCTCGACAGCACACGACCCGCTTCGCACTTCCTGGTCTTTATTTTGGGTATTTCGCACTCTAGCGAAAAATCATCGGCTCAGTTGCCTTACATTGTTACATTCTTACCTCGGATGGAAGTGGACTTTGGCAACCGATATATATATATTTTCCCACAAGGGCACTGTCCCGGTTGACAATGCGTTTCGTACTCCCAGAGAGTTCTTTCCCCTCTTTCTTCCCCGGTGATACCGTCGATTATGTTGTAGGGGTTGAGCTAAACGCACCTGAAAATGTTACCCGATTAGTGTCGTCTTTGGTGTGGAAGAAAGCCCACATTGTAAGACACCTCGTAATGAGCGTCCTTCGATTGGATATGGGCATTATCAGTAATCGGGTTTTCTCCTGGTATTTTGGTGTTCGCGAATCGGTGAACTCACACTCGTTTTTTCGTGCTTGTGTTTCAAGAACGAGTGTATCCTCTCATTCTCTCAGTATGTCGCACTTGCGTAGGTTAACGGGATTCAATTTGCTTATGGAGAAGATCCACCTTTGTCTTGAGGTTATCATGACTACGGATTTATTGGTGATATTCTATCCTGGGTTCCTTTTTTGAACGATGTTACTGTTGAGCAAGCTTCTCGGGCTCACGAACATCATCATCGACAGCATGACATCAGTGTTCAACACCGATGATTCACTGCCGTAGAACTCACACACGTATCAATAAAGATCCGTTGGACAGTGTTCCATAGTTTGTCTTTACTTAATATATCTGACAACCTCCTCTATCACTTTCAAAGACAATGCAAGCAGTGGTTTGCAAGCATATCCGGATTAAAGGGTTGATCAAAACACAACCATCAGTAATCTCTCCGGCCACTTCGACATAGAGAACATTAAACGAAGCTGGATAAATGCGGCTTAGTTGGGCTTCAACTTTTCAGTCCCCAACCGTTTTTCTTAAATAGGGTATCCTCAGCTTTCATGAATCTTGAGTGCGTTTTGAAATCGCAGACGCTGAGTTGAACGTTATTTCTACTTTTTGTGGCTGCGACCTATCGGCCAGTAATTTCAATACGCTTGGTCACAAGCAGCTGATTAGCCCCATGATCAACTTGCATTTGGGCAGGATGTAGCGCTGTTCAGCCTTCAGTCGCGGGATCCACATCACGTGGTCTTGGCTCCTGAAAAAACATCTCCTCAGCTGGTAGTTTCGCTCATCAAGTGAGCTTTATTCGTCCTGTGAGCGCCTGGTGGCCGATCGAGCCCCTGTTCAGTAACTTGTACTAGCTTCCCGTAGTGACCATCACGAGATAAGCTTAGTCATGCGATACGCATTTCCAATCTTAAGAATAATGCGTTATATCCTGAATATTGGCGAGTGAAACGACTAACCATGTACATCGACGTTAAGGTCAACGTTCAGGTCTAACCTTATTAGAGCTTCAGGTAGTAGGTCAATTGTTCTGAAACATCCTGTGTTTCTAGGCATTTCAGCAGGGTAGCAAA